AGTACGATAAAGAAACATAATTAAAAATTAGAAATCAGCAATTATAAGTATTTTTGTAGAATTACCTAACGAGCTGTACAGAAAGTAGCATAATGCCGGCATCCAGGAGGCCGCCGTGGAAGACGCCTTGAAAACGTGTAAAAACTCGACGAAAAGTACGCCGAAGGACTTGACGGTGCCCGGGATGAGAAAGTTGACAACGAGAGCAGAAAAGAGGACCACCCAGCCCCATCCACCATCCGGTGGGATCATTTTCGTTTTCCTCGTTTTCCTCTTCATCGACATGTTTTTTCCTACTACTACGGTGCATTGGGGTCGCGTGCAAGTCCCGGGCGATTCTCGGCTGCAAATGTTCAAAAGGGGACATCGTTACGCGTGGATTATAATAGATACTTTCTGCCTTCCGTCGCCGTGAAGGTAAGAGAAAGATTATTATCGTCGTTAAGGCACAGATCAGCCTAGAGCACCGTCCTTGACGCGATCACGCTCTTTCATAACAGTAGTTATAGGGGGAATCGACAACGTTCGATGAAATCATCGACGTTGTCGCGAGATCGCGGACTATCCTATCGTATTTCCCGCGAGAAGACAATCTTGCAAAAATTTTGCATCTTTGAAAATCTAATCGTGAATATTTCTAACTTCTCTTCTCCTCGTTCGCGGTATCTATCTCACGTTGTTTATACGACGCAAACAAAGTGGACGGTGGAATAACACGTTTCCTTCGTATAACAGTCCGCTTATTGGCCGCACGCTTTCCCAGAAGGATTTTCTTTTTACACTCGGCCGCGTGCGACCGAGCTTCGCGCGTTCACCTGTGCGCACGCATGGAATATATATATATACGATTTTCATTGGAACCTACGTTCATTGGAATCGTAACGTATACGTGTTCCCGGTTACCATTCACGATCGTACACGCGAACGCGAAAAGAGAAAAAAAACTCCCGCCTGTGTGTACCAACGCGCGACGAGTTTGGAATAATTAATCTTTTGCTTTATTCCTAAACGCACAGAGATTTATATTTGATTTAAAAGAAAAAAAAAAAAAATTTACCATCGCGTGTGGAAGAGGACAGAGTACGTATTAATCTGCGCATGTCGGAAATCTATAGGCAGATTACGTAGGATGAAAGTCGTTAAACAAGACTCTCGTGACTCTCCGCTGTCATATCCTTCCACTTCGATAGAAAGCACGCGTCAGGAGATCTTGAAATTAAATTGAAATTTTGAAAGTCGGAAAACAGTCAAAAAGCTGTGAGAAATTTAAATTACAAAATTTCTTTTATATTGTGAATCTATTTGAACCTACTCTCGAGCTAAGATATGATATTTTCGTCGTTCTTGTCTAAAGATTTAAAGCTGTATACCCCAACCGTGATGTTAAACGTAACAAATTATTTCATTATCTTCGTGTTGTCTTTTTTATACATTTATGTATCGATCGATGAGTAAAAGTGGCAATGGTTCTACAATCCTCAATCAAATATCGAGAAAACACTCTGTTTATAATTAGAAAAGCAAATTATGTTTTTATTATTAGTCTCGTTTGGAAAATTTTGAGCAAATGAGAATACTTTTGCTTAGGTGTCAAAATATCTGTTTGAAGTTAAAGAAAAAGTTCGATTCTTAAATGGTATTTCCTTTATATTATGATTTTGTATCAATAAGCGAATCTGACACCTATCATTTTTTTGCGAAACGCTGTTTATGACGATTAACGTGCCGATATGAACGTGAAAATGTAATAATAAACGATAAAAATAAAATATTTAGCGGTACTCACATACACCGCGTGTACGTCTCGTCTCGATTCGCGTCTTTGTCGTATTAATTAGCATCTCGACGACGAGCACGTTACGTTCGTATCGCACAATCATGGTCGCGCTTGAGTACCATTCCTGACGGATACTCTGCGTGTTACGCGACTATCGTGTGGCGGGTAGTCATTAATTTAGAATTACGACTATTATGCGCCTTCTAAATTTGAACTTTTCATCATGTCTCATATCTGTCCCCTAATTTAGCTGACAATTACTGGAAGCGTAGTGGAAGTTTGACAATTTAATGGAAGTCTAACGGGAGTCCACGAAAAGGACAAGGTAAATGGAAATTTAACTCGGGCTTGGTCGCAAACGTGGACAGATATATTATTTGCCGAATTGATTAAACCGTCTAATAAAACGTCTATGCGTAATGTAAAATTTCATGACACAGCCTCTGATATCGATCTATGAAATACGGTATCGATCAAACGCTTTAATAAAAATTAAAAAAAATTTTCTCTTGCAAATACTTTGCATTAGCTTCATTCATTAAAGTATCGATATTAATTTAAAGTTTAATGAATTAAGACTTTCGGCAAAATCTGAGAAATATAAACTTTTCGGCTATTTTTAATTTTCCCGATTCTCAAGGTGATGATGCGGATCTCGCTGACTGATAAGGATCATCCGCGTTTGCATATTTGCGCCTTCGTTTCAAAGTGAGCGTTATGATAGTAGTAGTAATAGTAGTAGTAGTAGTAGTAGTAGTAGTAGTAGTAGTAGTAGTAGTAGTAGTAGTAGTAGTAGTAGTAGTAGTAGTAGTAGTAGTAGTAGTAGTAGTAGTAGTAGTAATAGTAGTAGTAGTAATAATAATAATAGTAGTAGTAGTAGTAGTAGTAGTAGTAGTAGTAGTACGACGCAACGGTGAGAAAAGTCCCGTAATCGGCCTAACACTACGTTACAAGTAGGCACATCGCTCGCCAAGTACCACGCCTGTGGATACCTATGAATGATTCCATTTACTACGGATGCGTAAAACACTCGGACGCGCTCGCAAACGCGCGCGTCGATCGCCAGATCGTCGCACGGTTCTCCGCTCCGCGATTCGCATGGAGAACGATTGACCTCGCGAGATCTCTCGTATTAATAACGTTTTTAAAAATGCTACTCATATGTAAATGGTACGCGAGTCGTGACTCGATGATACAAGTCGTCGAACACGAGTAGTTTCCTGATGCGCCATTCTCAGGAGTTTTAAACGAGGAGAAGAACAATCGTTATAAAAAGAAATCGCATCGTTAGATGCTAGACTCGTCTCTTTCCTTTTGGACTCTCGCTCAGATCTTGTCAAATTTAAATCCCTCGAATCTTTCACAACGTTTCTATAAACGAATTACAATAATCGAATAAAAACTCGGACGACATAAGGAAAGTAAAAGATGAAAAATTAATAATCGATAGCGATAGAATTTATAACAAACATTTTCCGGAACGTTTACTGCCAAGTGAATAAATAACTGATTCTATTAATACATTCTTAAGGCCGAAAGTTTTAATATGAATCTATCATTACGCGCTAAAGGTTAATGTAACGCTATTGAAGCCAAAAACGTAATGTCTTCGAAAAATTTTTTGGGTTTTCCAATTAATTATATCACTTTTACATTTAATCAAGACAATTGAAAAATTATCATTTAATTTTTTGATGTAAAAACAAAAAAATTATATTAAAGGTCATTAGAAATTATCTAATTATTTTTTAAGTCACATGTCAAAATTATCCATACATTCTCAAAAACATTATTTTTTTCAAATGAATTGATCAAATATTGACAATTATATATGATATTTGTTCAATAAGTTTAAAGCGATAATAGCTTTGTGTGATGGAAGCTATTTAAAATCATAGTCGAGTATAAGTATGTTGTCATTCTATATTCATTCATTAAGCATTGAGCTATGTATGTATTTAATGAGTATTAATAGTACATAATTCATCTCGCAACCTATTCGTATAAGAAAAGAATTGCAGAACAATATTATCGAGATTAGCTTACACATAACAAAATTATAAAGTTACTTGTAACTTTTGTAAAATAACAATATTTTATTAAATAATATTATACAAAATTATCAAGAAGACAGCTGCAAATTTTTCTTTTATAAATTGTTATAACAACTGTTATTTAACAAGCAAATTATATATTATATTTTGCAATAAATACTGCAACTCTTACGGCGAAGCAACGCAGAGGATTCTCAAGATATTTTATTTTTGTACAAGCATAGCTCAATATTCATTCAGGAAAAAAAAACCAGCAATGACGCATAAAGTGGAGTCGCGTTAAATAATTTTACGTTCAAATTTTACTTGATATTTATGTGATATTGGATTTTACGGGCTTTACGTACAAATACTACTATGAATCGCCGTGTATATATGCGTATAGTTATTAATTTAAGGTGTTCTGTCGTCACAGCATGCGTGAGTAACTCGAGATAGCGTGGGCAATTCACATCTCGGCGGTAACAAACGGCACGCTCGTTAACGTTCAAGCGCCTTGAAGCATTACGATGAATTAATATCCGTAAACAGAATCCGAAAGGAGAAATACGTTCCGATAACGGGTGGATGTTAAATATACACGTGTACGCATACGCACGCGGAAAGACTGAAAGAAGCGTTAACCGGTAGTCATCCCTTATTAAAGGATTAACACGTCCCACGTTTTCTTCCGCCATATATGTATACGTTTCGCATACATTACTGGTAAATATGATTTTTAAACTGCTTTCGTTTTTTTGAGGGGAAACTAAATGCCAGAGAGAACATGCTCGATTAACAGCTACGCTCT